TAATTGTATTTTTGTGTACCCGTGAACAGAGAAGACAAGAACAGACAGATGGGATCCCGAGAGGGAGAATAGAGAGGAGAGAAGGAGGGAGAGATAGAGAGGGAGAGACAGAGAGAGGGAGAGAGAGAGAGAGAGAGAGAGAGAGAGAGAGAGAGAGAAGAGAGAGAGAAAAGAGAGAGAGAGAGAGAGAGAGGAGAGAGAGAGAGAGAAAACCCGCCGCCAGCGAGAAGAGAGTAGAGAGGGAAGAAAGAGAGGGAGAGATAGAGAGGGAGAGAGAGGAGAGGGAGAGAAGGAGGGGAGAAGGAAAAAAGGAAGAGAGAGGGAGCCAGCCCGCCCGCGAGAGGAGAGAAGGAGAGAGAGAGAAGAGAGGAGAGAGAGAGGAGAGGAGAGCCCCGCCAGCCCCGCGAGAAGGGGGAAGAGAGGGAAAAGAGGAAGAGGAGAGAGAGAGAGAGTAAGAGCCAGCCCCGCGGAGAGAGAGAGAGAATAGAGAGAGAGAGAGCCAGGCCCGGAGAGAGAGAGAGAGACCGCCGTGAAGAGAGAGAGAGAGAGAGTGAAGAGGAGAGAGAGAGAGAGAGAGAAGGAGGGGCCCGCCAGCGAGAGAGAGAGCCACGAGAGAGAGAAGAGAGAGAGAGAGAGAGAGAGAGAGAGAGAGAGAGAGAGAGAGCCAGCCAGTGAGAGAGAGAGAGAGAGAGAGAGAGAGAGAGAGCCAGCCAGGAGAGAGAGAGAGAGCCAGCCAGTGAGAGAGAGAGAGAGAGAGAGAGAGGAGAGCCAGCAGTGAGAGAGAGAGAGAGAGAGAGAGAGAGAGAGAGAGAGAGAGAGAGAGGAGAGAGGAGAGAGAGAGAGAGAGAGAGACAGAGAGAGAGAGAGAGACAGAGACAGAGACAGAGACAGAGACAGAGACAGAGAGAGAGAGAGAGAAGAGAGAGAGGGGAGAGAGAGAGAGAGAGAGAGAGAGAGAGAGAGACAGAGGAGAGAGAGAGACAGAGAGAGAGAGAGAGAGAGAGAGACAGAGAGACAGAGAGACAGAAGAGAGAGAGGAGAGAGAGAGAGAGAGAGAGAGAGAGAGGAGGCGGAGAGAGAGAGAGAGAGAGAGGAGAGAGAGAGAGAGAGAGAGAGAGAGAGAGAGAGAGAGACAGAGAGCCAGAGAGCCAGAGAGCCAGAGAGACAGAGAGCCAGCCAGCCAGAGAGCCAGCCAGCCCGAGAGAGAGACAGAGAGCCAGCCAGCCCGAGAGAGAGACAGAGAGAGAGACAGAGAGAGAGACAGAGAGAGAGCCACAGCCAGCCAGAGCCAGCCAGCCAGAGCCAGCCAGCCAGAGCCAGCCAGCCAGAGCCAGCCAGCCAGAGCCAGCCAGCCAGAGCCAGCCAGAGCCAGCCAGAGCCAGCCAGAGCCAGCCAGCCAGCCAGAGCCAGCCAGCCAGCCAGCCAGCCAGAGCCAGCCAGCCAGAGCCAGCCAGCCAGAGCCAGCCAGCCAGAGCCAGCCAGCCAGAGCCAGCCAGCCAGAGCCAGCCAGAGCCAGCCAGAGCCAGCCAGAGCCAGAGCCAGTCAGCCAGCCAGAGCCAGACAGCCAGCCAGCCAGAGCCAGCCAGCCAGAGCCAGCCAGCCAGAGCCAGCCAGCCAGCCAGAGCCAGCCAGCCGGCCACCCAGCCAGCCAGCCACCCAGCCAGCCAGCCAGCCAGCCATGTATTACATGTTCCAGAATTGTTTCTCTTTACTTTCGGCATAGTTTATAAGACATTCTGAAAGGGTGTTGCATAAATGTTGCACATGGATTATTATCAAGGTTTTTGATATTTCCTTGACCACATATGGTCACATCCACCTCAAAGTCACTAAACTTGGGGTCAGTATCACTTTCCTCTTAAAATGGGAGTGTTAATACTACATGAAATCAGTGAATCCCAGGTGCTTGCCGTGCTCTTTGCTCTAGCTGGCGCTCATTTGAACTGGTGCTCCCACAAGGTACTAAGAGGTCCCCAATTTTTTTAACACTGCACACAGTGAGTATTAAGACCCATCCTATGCTGACCAGGCATCTCAGGCCAACCGTGCCAAATTTTGAGGCAGGAAATATAAAACGTTGATCTATGTTTGGGGGCGCTAGAGGAAAGAACGTATATATACGTTTGGACCATTTAGGGGTTAATGGTGCCCCTTGGGAATACCTAATGAAAGAGCAAAAGACATACATATGCACTGGTTAAGACATATGCTAAGGAAACCTTTTATCACAAGTGGCTTCTTCAGTTGCAATGAAGAAACCACTCATGGTGAAACATTTCCCTACAGTTTCTTCAGCAGTCCATTAGTGTCTTTTACTCTGCTACAACTTGTTAATATCACCCTACCAATTTCATCGGAATAAAGTGACCTGTATGTGGTAAAGTCCTTGATACAAAAAAAAAAAAAAATAACTGGATAAGCAAATTTATTTACTGTGTTGCCCATCAATAAAAATGTTGTATAATCATAACATGCAAATAAGGAAGCCCTTGAATTTGTAGACAACTGTATACAACATTCAACATTTTGAAGCCCCTTCAAGAGGCTCCTTGATGGAAGCAAGAGGCTCTCGATGCAAGAAGTAAGACCTGCCATCCCCTTCCTTAAATCAAATCTGTCTGTTTCCTATCATGCCAGGTGCTGCATGACTCCTGTGTGTTTAGCGCTTCCCTTAAATATAATAATATTAATACTTTGAAAGCAAGGTGTGGTGTTAATATCATGAAGAGAATTTAGAGTACAGATATTAAAAGGCAATCTGGAGTCACAAAGGGTATAACTCAGACAGATGAGGAGTTGTAGAGGTGGTTTAAGTATGTCAAGAAGATGGAGAGAGATGAAGTGACAAAGAGGATGCACAAATCTGGCGTGGAAAGAAAGTGGGATACAGGATGTCCCAGGAATGGCTGAAGGGAGGGGCTAAAAGATACTTTGAGTTTTAGGGGCTTGAGCATCCAGCAGGATTGAATGAGCATGTTAGAAAGGAGTGAATGGAGGCAAACAAGTGCAAACAAGGTAACTTTTAGGAAGGGATTCAGGGAAACCAGGTAGCCAAAGTTGTGTCCAAAAGCAGGAAGGACAGTGCCTGCACTCTGAAAGATGGGTGGAGATGCTGTAGTTGGAAGGTAATGTGAATTATTTGAAAAGACATGGACTGAACAATTATATAATGGTGAATACATTTTATTTTTCTTTGGGTCACCCAGTCTTGGTAGGAGATGGCTGATGAGTGAAAAAAAAAATATTCTGGAAAACATTCTCTTCCTCAATATACAGAATTTAATTTTTTTGTAAAGCAGACCCCCGAGTTTCGTGATAAATCTGTTCCAGAGAGCCTGCCGAAAGTCGAAATTCACGAAACTCGAAACCATTTTCCCCATAAGAAATAACGGAAATAAAATTAATCCGTTCCAGACACCCAAAAATATTAAAATAAATTTTTTTTTTCAAATTAAATAAAAATTTACATACTGAAAACAATCAGAAATCAAGTACATGCATATAAAAAATAATAACAACATTACACTTACCTTTACTGAAGACTTCTGGGTTGATGGAAGACGGGAGGAGGGGATAGGAGGAAGGTGTACACTATTGTTTGGAAGGAGAATCTCCTTCCATTAGGACTTCAGGTAGCAAGTCCTTTTCTGGGGTTACTTCCTTTCTTCTTTTAATGCCACTGGGAACAACTTAAGAGTCACTGGACCCCTGTCACACAAAATATCTGTCCAGTGAGGTCTGTTTCTGACATTTCTTTATGATTTGCCTGAAGTGGGACAAGGTTTTGTCACTGAACATGTTGCAGATATGGCTTGTTTCAGCTTGGTCAGGGTGATACTTTTCAACAAAACTTTGCAACTCATTCCACTTTGAACACATGTTCTTAATCACTGAAGAAGGCACCTCCTTCACACTCTTTTCCTCCTCCTCCTCTGACGCAAGTTCCTCAGCTGTGGTCTGATGCTGCTCCAGTTGAAGCTCTTGCAGTTCGTCAGTGGTTAGCTCTTCCCTGTAGTCCTCCACCAACTCTTCCACATCCCCATCACTCACCTCCAACCCCATGGACTTGCCCAATGCCATAACACCTTCCACAACAGGCAGAGGGTCTGCCTCAAACCCTTCAAAATCCCTCTGGATCGTGTTCTTCGCTTTCTTTACCAAAGGGCTTGCGCTAGCTTTCCTTGGGTCCATGGTGACTTATTTAGCAGTTGCAATCACAAAAAACAATGGATTATTACGTATGAACCCGCAGGGTGATGGTCATTTGTTGGTAAACAATGGCACACTGAGCGTGAATGGCGTGGGAGACTGGCTTTGTGTGCACGGTGACGGGCGGACAGGTACCGGATAGTTGCCGAATCATGAGTCTAATTATGAAACTCGAGGCCAAATTTTGCCAAAAAAAACTTGCCGAAAGTCAAATTTCACGAAAGTCGATACTGCCGAAACTCGGGGGTCCACTGTATTTAAAATTCTAAATTTCATTTTCAAAATCTGGTTGAAATCCAAATCAGAGAGAGAATATATTACTGGATAACTTTATAAAAAAAATATTTATATGAATTACTGTACACAAAGCCAATTTCTTTCTTCTCCAGGACACTTTTTTTTATTTAAAATTTTCAGTAAATTTAAATAATTTCAGCTGCACCAATGACATATATGATTACACATAATCAATCTTATTTAAATATACTTTATGTTACTGCTTCAAGCCATTACACTATATATGGTAATAGACCAGTTTATTCTGGAATTATGATGCTTTAATGTCCCAAACAATGAGAGTATTGATGCAGTTACAGTAACTACTGTAGCTTATAAATCCCTACATATCTGAAGAAATCTCATACTAAAAAAAATCTATGGTAAATATTTTAACCTTTTTATTCTTAATTTTGAGTCATTCCTTAAGTAGCATTCAGTAAGGATGGGGCAAATTCTACAACTAATATCAAATTCATAACTACCTCAAATATTGTGCAATGGTATCTACTTACTTGTACCCATCAACATAGTCTTCTCTGAAATTGGGAGAGACATTAGTAGGTTTTGGTTTAATAATCTACTCCAATGAAAATTTACACAGAAGCTCAACCTATTTGACCAACTGGTATATACCCTGCAGAAAGCACTAAGTAAACTCATATCCTACACCCAATTTTGCTAGTACTGATTATTTATTTCTTGGCTTCTTCATGAAGTCTAAAATACTTATTCATACATAATTTTTTATTTATTTCAATTTTTATTATTATACAAAAAGCCAGAAAACTTACGCATCTTCATCTGTAGTAATTCGTCCAATTTTACTCTCCTTAACAACTGTGATGGCTAAATACTTGTTTATCTGCAAAATACAATAACTTTATGGAAACCCTGAAAAAATTTGGAAACTAATGTTTGTGAGGTTGTTTGTGTTATATAGCATTCTTATTAATCACTTAAACTCCACGCAATTGTCACATTACTAAAAAAATAATATATTCACATGCATTTATGCACAAGTACAGTAAAAAAGTAACTAAATAATAACAGCTATAACATTTAGCACCAGAGTATGCATCAGTATTAAGTAATATGGTACCATATTCCCTACAAGAAACAATTCTGAAGTTAGGAAAAAAGTACTATCTTCTAAGGCTTTCCTTAAGATACCAGTGAAGAGTCACTCACCACTTTTCATATACAGTAGTAAGAAATCTAGTTGCCTTCTGTGCATCTATGCAAGAGTTCTCCTTTGTAATTTACATTACCAACTGTGAAGGCCCCCAAACTCCTGTCAGTATACTCTGATGAGGAACCCTTCACAAAAAGTAGCTTTTAGTTTGTCGGAATGTTTGATGCCGTGTTCAGGTTCCATGAACCAATTATAGGAATTTAGTACTGAAACCAATACAGTGGGTGCTGTATTATCTGATCACCTCTGACCACGAATCTTTTAACTTTAAAAAATGCTATATAAAATTACTTTTTTTTTTTTTAATTTTTTATCAAATAAACAAGAACCCATCATACCTACAGGAAACCACCACATACCAAATTCCAGTGCATTTGGATAAGTATACTGTGCTCTAAAAACATTTGTCAAGAAAATAGCCAGTAGGCCTGCTGCAGTGTTCCTTCGTTCTTATGTAAAATAATTTCACTTATATCACACCAGATGATGTCAATGGTACTAGCATTTGTATAGTTTTAACCTTTTCTTAGAAATTTGTTGTATATGTGTATGAAATTTGAGTCTATTATCGAGGTGGATTCCTAGGAATTTTCCCTCTGTTAGCTTTGTGATAGGTGATCCGTTTATTGTTATGTTAAGAGGTACATCTGTAGCTCTGTTACCAAACTGAATGAAGTAGGTTTTGTCAATGTTTAGTGTAAGTTTGTTAGTCCTCATCCAGGTAGATATTTTCTGTAATTCGGTGTTTACAGTATTGGCTAGCGTGACTGGGCTCGGGTGAGAGAAGACGTATGTAGTGTCATCTGCAAATAGTGTGGGTTTGAGTAATTGCGAAGCATTTGGTAGGTCATTTATGTAGAGGAGAAAAAGAAGAGGGCCAAGGACACTTCCCTGTGGGACACCAACTGTAATTGGTTGTGCGGAAGAGCTTGCCCCATTTGCGTACACATATTGGCTTCTGTTGCTGAGGTAAGACTTGAGGTAGTTGAGGGAGTGCCCTCTAATACCATAGTGTGACAATTTTACGTGGAGCAAGTCATGGTCAACTGTATCAAAAGCTTTACGTAAGTCAATGAAGATCCCCAGTGGGACTTCTTTTTTCTCTATTGCAGTGTATATATGTTCTAGCATGTGTATAATAGCATCATTAGTATTTTTATTAGGCCTGAATCCAAATTGGCAGGGGTTGAGAATGTTTTGGGAGATGAGGTAGGAGTAGATTCGTTTATGAATTAATTTTTCGAAGATTTTTGAGAGAGGGTGTAAATTGGATATTGGCCAATAGTTATTCAACTCTGTTTGGTCTCCTCCTTTATGGATCGGGGTGACCCTTGCTACTTTGAGAACTGTAGGGAAGGTGGAGGATTCAATGGATTTGTTAAAGAGTGTTGCAATGATTGGTGATAGTACTTGTGACGCTTTTTTGTATATAAAGGGTGGTAAGGTATTTAAATCTCCTGCCTTGTTTTTCAGTGCGTTGATAAAAAGGGGAGACTTCGTATGGGTTAGTCGGAGCTAGGAACAGTGTGTTCGGGTAGTTGCCAGTGAGGTAGTCATTTGGTGGGGTATCTGAGCTTGGGATTTTATTGGCAAGGTTTTGACCTATAGTGGAGAAGAAATCATTGAGTCTGTTTGCTGTTTCTGTTGGTGGGAGTTGGGGTTCATCTGATTTTGCTAATTTTATTTCGCTATGTCGTGATATCTTTTTTGTTCCCAGAATTTCTGATAGGGTCTTCCAGGTCTTTTTTATATCACCTCATAAGTTGGATAATTTTTTTTTTTTTTTTCAACAAGTCGGCCGTCTCCCACCGAGGCAGGGTGACCCAAAAAAGAAAGAAAATCCCCAAAAAGAAAATACTTTCATCATCATTCAACACTTTCACCACACTCGCACATTATCACTGTTTTTGCAGAGGTGCTCAGAATACAACAGTCTAGAAGCATACACATATAAAGTTACACAACATATCCCTCCAAACTGCCAATATCCCAAACCCCTCCTTTAAAGTGCAGGCATTGTACTTCCCATTTCCAGGACTCAAGTCCGACTATATGAAAATAACCGGTTTCCCTGAATCCCTTCACTAAATATTACCCTGCTCACACTCCAACAGATCGTCAGGTTTCCCCAAATACCATTCGTCTCCATTCAATCCTATCTAACACGCTCACGCACGCTTGCTGGAAGTCCAAGCCCTTACCCACAAAACCTCCTTTACCCCCTCTCTCCAACCCTTTCGAGGACGACCCCTACCCGCCTTCCTTCCCCTATAGATTTATATGCTTTCCCATGTCATTCTACTTTGATCCATTCTCTCTAAATGACCAAACCACCTCAACAACCCCTCTTTCTGCCTCTGACTAATACTTTTATTAACTCCACACCTTCTCCTAATTTCCACACTCCGAATTTTCTGGCATAATATTTACACCACACATTGCCCTTAAACAGGACATCTCCACTGCCTCCAACCGTCTCCTCGCTGCTGCATTTACCACCCAAGCTTCACACCCATATAAGAGTGTTGGTACTACTATACTTTCATACATTCCCTTCTTTGCCTCCATAGATAACGTTTTTTGACTCCACATATACCTCAACACACCACTCACCTTTTTTCCCTCATCAGTTCTATGATTAACCTCATCCTTCATAAATCCATCCGCCGACACGTCAACTCCCAAGTATCTGAAAACATTCACTTCTTCCATACCCTCCTCCCCAATTTGATATCCAATTTTTCTTTATCTAAATCATTTGACACCCTCATCACCTTACTCTTTTCTATGTTCACTTTCAACTTTCTACCTTTACACACATTCCCAAACTCATCCACTAACCTTTGCAATTTTTCTTTAGAATCTCCCATAAGCACAGTATCATCAGCAAAAAGTAACTGTGTCAATTCCCATTTTGAATTTGATTCCCCATAATTTAATCCCACCCCTCCCCAAACACCCTAGCATTTACTTCCTTTACAACCCCATCTATAAAATATATTAAACAACCATGGTGACATTACACATCCCTGTCTAAGACCTACTTTTACCGGGAAGTAGTCTCCCTCTCTTCTACACACCCTAACCTGAGCCTCACATCCTCAAAAAACCCTTTTTCAGCATTTTAATAACTTCCCACCTTTCCAATTTTCAACATCTGCCACATTGCTCCCTATCCACTCTATCATATGCCTTTTCAAAATCCAAAATGCAAAAAAAATTTCCCCTATCTTTATCTAAATACTGTCACATAAAATGCTTCAATGTAAACACCTGATCTACACACCCTACCCACCTAAAACCCCCTTGCCATCCGCATCCACATTTTTCACCCTAATTTTTTTCCAATATAACCCTCCCGTCACTTTCCGGATACCAGAACTTTTTCCCCTCTAATTTTTCCCTTCTTTTTGTCCCTTTCCCCTTTATAAGGGGGACTATACTGCTCTCTGCCATCCCCAGTACCTTCCCCTCTTTCATACATTTATTAAAAAAAATACCAACCACTCCAAAACATAACCCCCCCTGTTTTTTAAATTCTGTCAGATCCCATCATTCCAGCTGCTTTACCCCCTTTATTTACAATCCTCACGTACCCCCCCACACTTACATTCTGCCTTCTTCACTCCTAAAAGAGGGTAAAACCTCCCTGACCTGCATAAAATTACTGCCTCTGTTTTTTCCCTTTAACATTTAAAAGTTCCTAAAAATATTCTCGCCATCTACCCAATACCTCCATCTCCCCATCTACAAACTCCCCTACTCTTTTTTTAACTGACAAATAAATTTTTTCCCTAGGCTTTCTTAACTTGTTTAACTCACTCCAAAATTTTTTCTTTTTTCATTAAAATTTCTTGACAGTGCCTCCCCATCTATCATCTCTCTCCTTTTGCACTCTCTCCCACCACCCCTTTACCTTTCTTTTACTCTCCTATACTCTGCTCTTCTTATAACATTTCTGCTTTGTAAAAACCTCTCATAACTATTTTTCTCTTTTTTATCACACCCTTTACTTCACATTCCCCAATCACTCCTTTTTCCCTCCTCCCCCCCCTCCTATAACCACAAACTTCTGCCCCACATTCTAATACTGCTTTTTTTAAAACTTTTCCAACCCCTCTTCAACCCCCCCAAATACTCATTTTTTGCACTACCCCACCTTTCTGCCAATAGTCCTTAATCTCACCCAATTTCCCTCCCCCTTAGTTTATACACTTCACCCCCCTTTTATTGTTTTTGCCCCCTTCCTCTTTTCCCATCTACCTCTTACTCAAACGTAGCTACAACAAAAATATCATATAAGTTGCCCCCTATAAACATACATCCTGGGGCCTACCCTCAACCTTTTATCCACCAATACATAATCTAAAAACTACTTTCTTACTGCTACAAACATTCCCCGATATTATTTATCCCCTTTTTCATAAAATATTATTACTTATTACCAAATTTTTTTTCTACACATAGCTCAATTTAAAAGGGTCCCCATTTACTTTACCCCCGGCCCCCAAATTTTCCTACTAAACCCTTTTCCCTAACATTTTTACCCCACTTTAGCATTGAAAACCCCAAACCCCATTTCCCCACACTGTTCAAAAAATCCCCACGCATTCACTCAACAATTCCCAAAAACCCTCTCTTCCCCCTACCTTTTCTCTTTTCCAGTGCATACACGCTATTTAAC